CTATTTAAATGGACAATACCACCAACCACATCTTCACCCAGTACATCACTTTCTCATACAACACAATCACAAACAACAATGGTTAAATGGACAGTACCACCAACCACATCATCACCCAGTACATCACTTTCTCATACAACACAACTACAAACAACAATATTTAAATGGACAGTACCACCAACCACATCTTTGCCACATACATCAATTTCACATACAACACAGCCACACACATCAATAGAATTTACCAGTATGGATACAACGACTGAATCAGTTCAAAAATCTACCGTGTTATTGACAACTGAAGAAACAGGTATGAATTCTGTTTGACCAACTACATTCAAAAATATTGGTGAAATGATGCCTCAAAGGGAAATTTTATAATTCTCAGAATAATTAATAAATATTATATTATAAAACATATAATTACACGTTTAATATAAATCATATGTGGCCTCGCTTTCAAACCTTCTTCAACCTTACAAAACATTCTGGAACGAGAACTGTCACACCTAGGTGATACAGTCAAGAATCGTATCCCGTGTGTTATCAGGGTTGTTGAAATTTGTGTATGTGAATTCGATAGCATATTTCAATAACAATCATAACAAGAAAGAAACAGTCATATTAGCTGGCTAGCTGTCTTATATTGAAAGGTCACATGAATTGTGCGCCATTCAATTGATAAATTATCACATTAAATGACGATTAATATCAGCCATGCACAGATGAAGTATATTTTGAATTACGCACATAATGTTATTTCAGTTTTGTAATCAATGGTCTGTGATATGTTTATATATTATTTTTTTTTTTACTTGTTCAGGTCCTATGATTCTTTGTAGTACTCCTGCATCTTCACACTGTACTCTACAGACTGGGCCGTGTATGTGAGTACAACGTATCTTCATTTATAATGTGTTTCAATGCACTGATTTATTGTGTATTGAAGAGTACGTATCCTCCGACTGTTTATTAAAATCAGGTCTTCATCTCTGCCAATGCGTTCTTCGTAGCACTTTATTTAATGTATTACAACTAAATAGTGTATGTTGTACCATGACATCTCATTCGAGACATAGTAAATTACATCAATTACAATGTTTTGATTTACTGTAAATTGCAATAAATGTATATATGAACATATACAGCACCGCATGCCTAGGTAGATTAATTCACCACATGAACACGAGAGTGCCACACACGCACAGTAATGTTTAAATATAGAAATGGCCAGGTAGATTAATTCACCACATGAACACGAGAGTGCCACACGCGCACAGTAATGTTTAAATATAGAAATGGCCAGGTAGATTAATTTACCACATGAACACGAGAGTGTCACACGCGCACAGTAATGTTTAAATATAGAAATGGCCAGGTAGATTAATTTGCCACATGAACACGAGAGTGCCACACGCGCACAGTAATGTTTAAATATAGAAATGGCTAGGCAGATTAATTCACCACATGAACACAAGAGTGCCACATGAGCACAGTAATGTCTAAATATAGAAATTGCCAGGTAGATTAATTCATCACATGAACACGAGAGTGCCACACGCGCACAGTAATGTTTAAATATAGAAATGGCCAGGTAGATTAATTCACCACATGAACACGAGAGTGCCACACGAGCACAGTAATGTCTAAATATAGAAATGGTCAGGTAGATTAATTCACCACATGAACACGAGAGTGCCACACGCGCACAGTAATGTTTAAATATAGAAATGGCCAGGTAGATTATTTCACCACATGAACACGAGAGTGCCACACGAGCACATTAATGTCTAAATATAGAAATGGCCAGGTAGATTAATTCACCACATGAACACGAGAGTGCCACACGAGTACAGTAATGTCTAAATATAGAAATGGCCAGGTAGATTAATTCACCACATGAACACGAGAGTGCCACACGAGCACAGTAATGTCTAAATATAGAAATGGCTAGGCAGATTAATTCACCACATGAACACGAGAGTGCCACACGAGCACAGTAATGTCTGAATATAGAAATGGCCAGGTAGATTAATTCACCACATGAACACGAGAATGCCACACGAGCACAGTAATGTCTGAATATAGAAATGGCCAGGTAGATTAATTTAGCACAAACTAAACAAACAGGCAGAAATATGCCCCACTTGTGACTTGTGACTTGTCGACTGACTATTCTGGCACTTATTAGATGACATTTATTAGTTTGGGGAAAAAATTAGAAAAAAAACTGCATAACAATGTTTTTCTCATGTAACATTAGGTTGCTGAACCAAGTACTCTGACACTATGTGAGCCTCGGTCTGAACACACATTGCTAGTATGATCTAGTTCATGAAGTATTTCTATTCATAACACAGATTTACATGTCCAGCTGGATGTACTTCCAACTCATGTAGAGTATGGGGTACAACAATGTACTCTGGGGTAGGTACATGTTGCAATTGGATTTAGTGTATTTTATGTTATAATAAAAGTGAAAATATCATTTGTGAAGCACGTTATACAGTGTCTATTCAGTATTATAAATCACCATTATCAGAAATAGAGGTTTTATTGACGTTTTTATGACACGAGAATGCAAATCCTCTATTCGCAAGTTAATCTGTTTAATACTAGGGGTAGTAATTT